TTGAAATATGTGATGTCTGCTTCATTAGAGTGTCTTATAATGACCTCTTTGAATTGTTTTGTCTGGACTATAACTTCAAAGTTATCTGGATCGAAACTTGTGGATTCACAATTTACTTATATTCCTGACTCCTCAGTCTACACATAAGATGTTACAACATTGTCTGCAACATTCTTCTTCCTTTCAATGAATGAATCATCAATTTCCATACTTGTGGATTCCATAACAACTTTAGTTTTGAAGTTAAAAACTCTATAAGCTCTTCTGTTTGAAGAGTAACCCAAAAATATATGTTCATTCCTTATGATATCCTTCTTACCTTTTTTATCTTTGTTCATCAAGGCATAGCATTTACTTCCAAAGGTATGAAAATATTTGACTATAGGCTTTATTCCCTTCCATAATTCATAGAGTAGTTAAGTACCTCCTCATAAATTGATCATATTATGAATGTAGCATGCATTACTAATGGCTTCATCATAAAACTCCAATGGTAATTGCTTAGCAGAAAGCATCAATCTAGCTGACTACAGTATAGCTCTAGTCTTTTGTTCAACAATTCTATCTTGCTGAGAAGAGATGGAACAAGAGAACTCATGAATGATGTCTTAATAAGCACAAAATTCATAGAATTTGTATTCTCAAATGCTTTGTCATGGTAGCTTATACCCTTCATAATCACACTCTTATTCTCTTCTTGAATGCTTAGACATAAATTTTTGAAGACTTCAAAAACATTTGATTTTTCTCTAAGAAAGTTCATCCAAGTATACCCAGAAAAATCATCTATAACCACATAGACATACATCTTTCCATCCAGGCTTTCTATATGCATTTTTCCCATTATATCCATATGAAGAAGTTCTAACACTTTAGAAGTAGTCTTATGTTGCAACATTGGATGTCACATTATGGCTTGCTTTCCAATTTCACACTCATTACATAATTTCTTTTCTTCAATCTTAAGATTTTACATTCCCTTAATAGCTCATTCAGATAAGATTTCCTTCATTCCTTTTAGATGAAAGTGTCCAAGCTTTTGGTGCCATAAATTTACTTCATCTTCATTGATTATCAAACATGTTGATGAATAAGCAGTTATTTGGGATTCCCACAAATAACAATCATCTTTAGACATAATTCCCTTCATTAGAACAACATCTTTTTCATCTCTGACCAGAAATTCTGACTTTGAGAAGTAAACTAACGGTCTTTAGTCACATAATTGACTAATGCTAATAATATTAGCAGTTAATCCTTTCACAAAAAGAACTTCTTCCAAGCTAGGAGAACCATCACACACCAATCTTTTAACTCGTTTGATTTCACTTTTAAATCAATCACCAAAAATGACAGAACCTATGGGATGATATTTGACATCCACCAACAACTTTTGGACCCCTGTCATATGTCTAGAGCATCCACTGTCAAAGTACTAGTCTTCACTAGTTGAGTCTTTCAAGGAAGTATGAGCTATAAGGTTAATATCCATATCCTTAACACTTCTCTTTCTACTCACTCGATTAACCTTAGATTGTACTGAAAACTTTTGATCTCCAAATAATTTGAAACAAAAAGGCTTTATATGACCATACTCACCATAGTAATGACATATCCAAGTTTAGGATTGATATTTGGATGAAGTTATATCACATATATCAGGATATTGTAACATTTGGTTTGACATGTTGATCATTATTTTCTTTTCAGAAGGAAATAACTTTTCTTCAGGCCTTTTGTTTTGTAGATGATTAGAAGAATAATTAACTTTTGTATCTTCATCCTCTTTCGACATATCACTTCCACTCTCAATCATTCCTAAGAAATTTGTCAAGTTGTTAAGCTTGAAATTTAAGAGAGTTACCTCATTTTGTAGATGAGAAACGGTACATAGAAGTTCCTTCTTCTCATTCTCTAATTCATATATGATCTTTTTTGTTCTTACTTTGTCTTAAGAAATTCTTCACTTGTCACAAGTATCCTTGTAGGATACATCTAGATCTTCATAAATGTCATTCTCATCACAAGAATTTACTTCATCTACCCATCTTCGAGAAAGAGCCATCACAAGTTTAGCAGTCTCAGGATTAGATTAATCTTCTGTCTCATCATCATCAGACCAAGATACAGTAAAGTCCTTTTTCAGCTTCTTGAGAAAGTTGGGACATTCTGGTCTAATATGACCAAAACCTCCACACTCATAACATCGAATGCCTTTGTTTTGATTGGTCTTGTCCTCAGTTTTGGTATTTTTCTGAAAACCCTCATCATTCCTGATGTCAGATGAGATGTTCCTGACATTTGGTCTTTCTCTTATGTCCATTCTTTTCAGAATACTATTTAATTTCTTTCCAAGTAACATAATGGTATTAGACATGCCTTCATTAGTATCCATACCAACTTGACTCTCTTCATCTTCAGCATTAGAAACAAAATTTATGTTCTTGTTCTTTTTCTCAGTCTTGTCACTAATAGCCAATTCAAAAGTTTGAAGTGGCCCAACAAATTCATTAACTCTCATGGTGTTGATGTCTTGAGCTTCTTCAATAGAAGTTGCCTTCATGTCAAATTCCCTAAGTAAAGACCAAAGAATCTTTCTAACAAACTTTTGTTTTGACGTCTTTTCTCCTAAGGCACTAGATGCATTTTCTATTTCAAGAACCTTCATATGATATTTCTGGATGGTCTCATCATCATTCATCTTTAGGTTCTCAAATTTAGTCGTGAAAATCTGAAGTCTTGACATTTTTTACTTTAGATGTACCTTCATGAGTTGTTCTGAGACTTTCCCAAGCATCCTTGGCTACAGTACATATATTAATTAACCTAAACACGTTCTTTTCTTCTCCTTTGAATAAAGCATTCAAGGCTTTGGAATTTCCAAGAGCTAATTTATCATCCTTATCATTCCAATCTTCCTATGGCTTCAAAGACATATTCTCTTCTTTGTCCTTCTCAACAGGATGTTCATATCCTTTCAAGACAGCCTTCCAAGCTTTGCTTTCCATGGATTTTAGAAAAGCCATCATTCTAACCTTCCACTAGTCATAATTTAAACCATCTAACAGAGGGGTTTGTTGTTGTATCCTTCTTTTTTGTCCATAGTACCAAAAATATTTTTTCTAGAGCCCACCTAATAAACAAAACAGGGTGTCTGCTCTGATGCCAATTGAAATTTGGCACTTGTAATACATATATTAAGACTGGTGTCTCAACATAAAGCATTATGTCAGGACAAATATTATAACATCATCTGCTGACAGAAACTTGCTAAAACATGATATTGTGTAGAAAATAAATTGCAGAAAATTAAATAACACAAGCAATTGTTAATCCAGTTCGGTGCAACGTCACCTACTCTGAGGACTACCAAGTCAGAAAGGAAATTTATTATAACAGTATTAGTTCAAAGCCTAAACAATCCCAGTTTGCAACTTCTCACTTAATCACTATCTTGTGCAACTTCTACTTAGACACCTCTAGATACGAGATTCTCCCTCTCACTTCCAATCACCGTAGTGATACCTACAGTCACAACCTGTGACTAGATCAAAAGAACCAAATAGAAGATTACACTTCCAATAAATAATACTTAGTTTTGCTTAAAAGCTTAACTAAGAATAATACTAAACTTTTTGCTTAAAAACTCATGAGTGAGAATAATCAGTCTACCTCAATGTATCAAAAGAAACATGAGTAACATACAAAGAACAAAAACACAAAGATCTTAAAAGACTCCTAAAACTCAAAGCCTTTATATTACACTAACGATTTCTTCAATACGAATGCTTGCTATTTTAGGTTTAGCAAATCCTTATTTATTGACTACTGCAAAATGAGTTTGGACTCTTCAAATCAAATTCAATCTTCTGTTTTAAATCAGTTGCAAGATTTTCATATAAAAATAGAAACAAATCTTCAAAGTTTCCTAAAAAGTCTCCAAGATCCTTTTATGAAATCAAATTAAATATGCACTTGTTCCTAATAGAATCTCCTTGACCTGTACAAAATAATGAGATATTTATAAAAGAATCTCACAAAATCAAATCAAATATATCAAGAGATATAATAGCATCACCTACTATATTACATGTCAAGATGTCAAAATATCTGACTCAACATCTGTCTGATATATATGACAGCAGAACATGTCATGGTAGTTGGTCAAGATGGTATGACATCTTACTCAACATCAGTCCAAAACTATATTTTAACAAAATTTATGTCAATCCCAAAATCATAGATTTAACAATTTCAGTCCATCGATATATATTACACATTTCATTAATGCAGAATATACCACATTTCAAAAAAATATGATCAATATTACCGCATATTTTATTTACTTGATATATGCGGTACATTTGACAAATGTTGTTCTACTGCATTTTCTATTTTTTAATACTGAATTTTGGTAAAAGAAAATTGAGGATTTGAAAGCAAGTTTTAAAAAAATATATAAATCATTTGAAATGTAAATGGATAAAATTAAAAAATATTGAGAAAATATATGAGTGGAAGGGGGTAGGTGTAGAGAGATATATAAGTTATGTTTGGAGTGATGAAATGTGATAGAATAGATGAAATATATTTGATCATATTTCATTCAATCTCTTAATTTTTCATTCTACTCGATTTGAGATGTATGCAATAGAATAAACTGATTTATTTTGTTCCGTTCAATCACATTATTCAAAATACACAATCAATGTAATGCAATTTATGTTCTATTTCATCAATCTTAAATATAATCTATAGCTTTAGTAATGAAAAACCCACGCAAAGCCCATTGTTTTCTCAAAACCAAATCCCATTAGTTTTTTATATCAACTATGACTCGATAACAGGTTGGAATCTCAATCCGTCGCGTCGTTTACTTTGCGTATCTTCCTTTCCCTTTCTCGTACTATGTTTCTGCTTTCCCTACTCTAACGAACAACAACAACGTTAACAAAACAAAAAAACCCATTCTGTTTTTCCACACAAACCTTAAACCCACCATGAAGGAATCAACAAAATCTCCATCAGGTACGTATACTTCAATCACTCTCTTATGTATTTTCAACCATTCATCCAATCAAATACTGAAATTCCTTGATTTATTGAAACGTTTGTCTTCAATTTCTTGAATATAATTACTAGTGTGTGTTGAAGTTATGGAAATTATGAAATGACTTTGTTATTATTTTTTATGCATTTGACTAAAGAAGCAAAAGGACCCAATTTGGTTGAAAAAGCAAAGGAAGAATTTGAGGCTATATTGCATCCTCATCATCACAGTGACATTGACGAGAATACCTTATTGGATGATGTTAAGGCTCCAAATGTGTTTGAAAGAGCCAAGGAAGAATTTCAAGCCATTGCTCAAGTGTTCCATCACAACAAAGATGAGGCTTCAACTCATGATATAAGGTTGAAATCATAACTTTCTTACATGAAAAATTCTTTACTGAAAGTTAGTTCTGTTGATAAAATCTGATTTATGCCTTTTTTTTTTGTGGCGGCGTAGGAATGGAAATCAAACTGCGGAGTCAAACCATAAACATGAAATCTCAAGTTCTTCATCAGGTATATCTTACTTTGTGAGAATGATTTTTTTTCTTGGTCATTTTGAGACTGTCCATAATAATATTGGATTTGGATTAGATGCGTGTATGTAATGCAGTTACTGATTTAACTGTCCGATCTGAAATCAATAACTAAAGTGATTTAGTGAGGATGTAATGTTTGCTGGCTGATCTCAATTCGATAGCCCATATTGACTAATGCTTATAACTGTGTCTTTTCTACTGCAGGAAATTCAAATTAATTCTTTAAGGAAATGTTTGTCATTAGGCCATTTCAATTTTATGTATTGGTTTTTGGTAGGGGTGGGAAACGGGTTACGGGCATGCCTGCCCCTCTTAGTCCCGCCTCACAAAAGACCGTAAAGAAAAGGGTGAGGCAGAGCGATCATAGTTAAGGATGAGGGCTTTAAACCTTGATCCGCCATGTAAAATATGGTGGTACGGGAAGGGCCTGCAGACACTGCACTTATATAGTCTAAAAATTGTAAAAATTTATGATAATGTCTGTCCCCGCAAAAAACGGAGCGGAGACACATTACATGATGCAGACCTAAAATTTTGGTCTGCCCTGCAAAAAAGTGTGAGTAAAATGGACATGCCCGGGGGCCGGACCTGTTCTCGGTGGTTTTCTAATTAAAATAAAACGGGAAGGGTAAATTATTATTTACTAAAGTAATACTAATGGTCACCTTTGATTGACGGAATTTGAACTTTGTCACTTGAGATTACTAGGACAAAACTTTGAATACTATGGTTTACTTTCTGAATGTTTACATATTTGTTAACAATGTTATCAATGGCTGATGGGAGTCCATGGCGAAGAGGCAAAATCCCACAATAATGCCCGAGATACTGTTATATTGGCGGCTATGGTGCCGCCATCCTTTTTATATTTGGCCATGGCAGAGAGCATAAAACCAGCCACAACCATGGTCAATATTTGACAACACGGCTTATTAATTGTAATTGCGTAGGGGCACATCAACATGTGAGTCTAATATGCCTAGAAATAGATTAAATTATAAACAATTTTGGATTCAATGGTTTGTAGGCGAACCTTACCTTCTTTGATCCATTGGACACATACAATTTGTTTTCTGTGGATGTATCCATTGCCTTAGATGCCTTCCTCTCTATATATAATATAATGTGAATGTATATATCAGTGATTTTCTAGTTCAGGGACCAAATAGGAGAGAATGATATTTTAAGAACTAAATTGAAGATTTATTCTTATAATTTGTTGACTTGATATAAGGCATTTTGTGTTGACAGAAACAAAAGCAAAGGAAGGCAACATATTTCTGAAAGCTAAGGCAGAGATTAAATCTGCTATACATCATTTTGATAAATCAAAACAGCATCGTCATGATAAAGAAACTCATGGAATGAATGATGACATCGATGAGAATACTCCTATAAATGAAGTTAAGGGACCAAATGTGTTTGAAAGAGTAAAAGAAGAATTTGAAGCTGTTTTACAAGCAATACATCCTAAGAAAGAAACTTGACTATTTTCATTCCCAACAATGGAATATTGTTGAATTGAGTTTTGCATGGGATGAGTGTTTTGTACATGTTATAAACAGTAAACATATGCTTATATATTTTTGTAGTGATATATCTATATGATTGTTCTATCCTTCCAAACCTCTTTTTGATAGGGAAGCACAGCACCCTTTTGTGCATGTAAGTTGTGATTCATACAAGCATTACAGTGAAACATTGCTCTACATGATGTCTGGTTTTATTAGGATGATTGCAATGAGAAATGCAGAATTTTACATACTTGCAGAACTCATCTCTTAGTCATTCCAAATTAGTAAAGTTCTATTTTTAAAATTCTGCACTTCTCATTGCAAATATAGTTTTTCTATTAGGTTTAATTGTAATTTTGGTCCTCTTATTTTCATATTTTTTTGAGTTTTGATTCCTCTATTTTAAAATTCGTAATTTTAATCCCTAAATTTTAATATTTTTTAGATTTTAGTCTCCTTTTTAATTTAAGATCAAATTTTAGTGACATGACAGTCCATATGATGACGTGTTCTTGCCACGTATATAATAATTAATTTTAAATTATTTTTATTAATTTTTATTTATATATCGCTTTTTAGAAAATTTATAAAATTAATGGTTTAAATTTAAGAAAAGAAAAATATTTTAGACACATAAGAATCACACATGTTCTCTATGATATGAACGTCAGTTATCACTACGCCAATATTAATTTGTTGATAAATTGTACTAGAACTATATTTAAGATTATATTTTAAATCATACTGAAACGTTAACAAAAACATTGAAATTTAAAAAACATAAATATATGAAATTAAAATTTTAATCTATAAAGTTGAAATTTAAAAAAACATTAATCTATGGAAATTAAAATTTAAAAAACATTAATCTATGTGATTGTATCTGACTAGAATGGACCGTCACAACTTATGTCGAACAGTACTTGAGAGTGAGGTGGGAGGGGCGGGGAGGGTACCTACAAGACACTCTGATTCCAAAATAAGATACGGAATGACGCAAGCAAGTAAGAGAGTGAGAAATGTTCAATATCCGACCCTCTCATGAGAGAGGGTACTTATAGCCCCCAGCGCTGGGCCAAGGTCTCCTCATTGGACTGGTCAAGCAGGCCCAAAGTGGAGACTGTCAGGTCCTACGTGAGTAGTGGGGACCAGCACGTGGTCCTCCATCTGGATGACTTCCTCCGCACGATCAGGAGGATATGAATGTAGTCTTTTCGGAGCCACGAAAACTCTATGATATTCGGAGACGTTAGTAGTCAGCCCTACGAGGAGGATGCTCGTAGGGGTGATTCTGCTCATCGTGGATGCTCTCCGCCGGACGCGAGGTCATATGGGAGGACCAGTCTCGGTCGAGAAGAGGATTGGAGGGTGACCTCGGGGTCCTCCTGACCGGCGATGAGCTTCCTAAGACAAGCTGGGTTTATCCCTGTGTGGTGAGGCTACCTCCTCGCGGAGAGTGGAAGTTGTTGCCCGACGCAGTCGAGGGAAGAACTGGCCAATGTAACACCCCTTCTAAATAACCCGTGAATATATTAATTAAATCAGAGTAACATGGAAAACAGGGATGTCACAATTCAAGATAAATATAAAAATCTCAAATCTACAGTTGTCATGCTTTACTGAAGAAATTATTAAGATAAATATTCAAATCAACATCATGTTCTACACAGCGGAAATGTCTCAAAACCGGAATAACTTCACTTCATAAGTATTCCCAACATAAATTAAACAATAGAGTATAAAATAAAACTCATCATTCAAATGTTTCCCCCAGTGTTACAACCTATCAGAGCACGACACTGACACGCGGACTAAAAGTAGCATAGCTCTAGAGTCATCCTCACCAACTCCTGAGCTGCTAACTTTAATCTGAAATCATTAAAGTAAGGGTGAGATTTCTCATAATTAACATGCATTATAAGCTCCTCAATCAATATTATATCACAAGCATATTATTTCACCCATTTTAGCATAAATTCAGATTCAACACACAGTTCCAATCATACAAGTCATTATGCACAAATCAATAATCAACCAAAGAATTGTAACACTGGAAGACATCCTAACATGTTACAATTCCATGCAAACACAAATGCAGACACAATACATGTGGTACCAACACGTGACCAAGTCACCCAACACTGATCCATCATCAACCGGATACAGCAACCATCGATTCGTCCATAAACACCGGACACGAATCCAGCTGATCCATCATCAACCGGATACAGCAATCATCGATTCGTCCATAAACACCAGACATGAATCCAGCCTAACCACCCATCATCACCCGGGTATCGGTTAACGGAAATACAAGTCAAATTCCACACAATGGGAATTAACTTCACCAAAACAATGCATATGCATGCACATCACCAGCATGCAACATCAAATCAGTCTATGAAATACATCAATTTATCATAACTGAACCAAAACCAAAAGAAACATGATATCATTATTTATCATACACACATCAAACAGCATAAACATGCACTTCATCCACAAGGACCTGATACAATCAATTATCATGGATACACCATTGCATATACACCAAATATGCACATAATAACAAATCGCATAATCAGAAAGTCAACATCAAATCAACGGAATATGATCACAACATAATTCCAAATAATGCCAAAACCAATATATCACATGATCACATCTCAATCATAATGGATAGCAGGCACAACACATAAGTATCAGTTCTCATTCACCAAATCAGAACAACTTACAAACAATTCTACATCATTCTCAAAATACCAAAGTTTACAAAAATCGGGAATTCGACTCTTTTTAAAATAATTTTCATAAAATAATATTTTTCTTATTTTATAAGATAGTATTTTTAATTTAAGAAATACTGCCGAAAATGACACTCAAATCGGACTTACGGTTCGAAAGTTACGGATTTTTAAAGTTTAATATTTTTCAAAAAGTTACGTTTCTGGAAAATATACTGGAACCCGGTTCCTACCTATACAAGAACCGGTTCCTGCGACCAATTTTGCAAGTTTTTGTACGTTCACACAGTGGAACCCGGTTCCTCCCCACTGGGAACCGGTTCCCACGACCTGCAGAGTCAAAATCTGCTATTTTGACAGCATTATTCATTCCAATCCCATCCAATTCATACCCATACGAATTATAACATTTGGAACACCAAAATGCAACCAATACACATCAATACAACATCATAAATCATGTTTCCATCACTCCTATTAATTATTCATCACATTAATGGTTCCAATTCCTATACTCTGACACAATTAGGGATAATCCCACAAACCTAGAATTCCAAAATCGAGATTCCTAACATGCTTAATCAATTCTATTGATCTCAAAATCTATAAGGCATATTAAATAATTGAAATCACCCCTTACCTCGCGATGATCCTTCGAATTCACGGCGTTTGGCCTTTTCCTCTCTTCTCTTCTCTTCTCTTCTCCAATTTCACGTACAATGAGTTTTCCAAATAACCTCTTTTTCTTCTTTCTTTTATTATTTTCCAAATAATAGAAATAAATTAGTAATTATTTAGTAGAGCCTTTTACTTCACACACCTCTAATTCAACCTTACACCCCCCGGTCTTCCTTTTTAATTTCATAATTAATTCATCCATTTAATCCAAAATATTATTAATTAAGCCTTTAATTAATTTAATAATTAAATTCCTAATTATTTAACACTTGAATAAATTTGGGGTGTCACAACTCTCCCCAACTAAAAGAGTTTTCGTCCTCGAAAACATACCTTAGACGAACAGTTCGGAATACGAGTCCTTCATTTGGCTCTTCAGCTCCCAAGTGACATTTCCATCTGCTGGTCCTCCCCAAGCCACTCTTACCAACGCGATCTCCTTGCCTCGCAACTATTTCAACTTCTGATCCTCAATTCTCGCAGGTACCGCTTCCACAGTCAAATTCTCTCGTACCTGTATATCATCTACCCGAATCTCATGAGACGGATCAACAATGTACTTCCTTAGCTGAGATACATGAAAAACATCATGCAAATTTGCAAGTGACGGCGGCAAAGCAATCTGATAAGCAACTTTCCCAACTCTCTTGGTAATCTGAAACTGACCAATAAAACGTGGAGTCAACTTCTTTGACTTCAAAGCTCGACCAATACCAGTCATCGGAGTAACTCGCATAAAAACATGTTCTCCTTCGCTAAACTCAAGATTTTTCCTCCTCTTATCGTGATAACTTTTCTAACGACTCTGAGAAGTCCTCATCTTCTCCTGAATCATCTTAATCCTTTCCGAAGTTTGTTGGACAATTTCCGGTCCAATCACATCACTCTCTCCAGATTCATACCAACACAACGGTGTCCGACACCTCCTACCATACAATGCCTCAAACGGAGCCATACCAATGCTCGAATGAAAACTATTGTTGTAGGTAAACTCAATCAATGGTAGATAACTATCCCAAGCTCCACCTTTCTCCAACACACAAGCTCTTAACAAATCTTCCAACGACTGAATCGTTCTCTCCATCTGACCATCTGTCTGTGGATGATAAGCGGAACTCAAACGCAACTTAGTACCCAAAGCTTCTTGCAATCCCGTCCAGAATTTAGATGTAAACCTCGGATCTAGATTCGACACAATACTAGAAGGAATACCGTGCAAACTCACAATCTTCTCAACATACAATTCTGCCAACCTTTCCATCGGATAATCCATTCTTATCGGAATAAAGTGAGAAGATTTCGTCAACCGATCAACAATAACCCAGATAGAGTCACAATTCTTCGATGTCCTTGGAAAACCAGACACAAAATCCATAGAGATTCCATCCCGTTTCCATTCCGGAACAAACAACGGTTCCATCAATCCTGACGGTTTCTGATGCTCAATCTTCGACTTCTGACAAACCAAACAAGCATACACAAACTCAGCAATTTCCTTTTTCATTCCCGGCTACCAAAACAACTTCTTCAAATCATGGTACATTTTAGTAG